TATATATATATATATATATATATATATATATTGGAGAGCAGTACTTTATTTCCAAAAAGGAGAAACGTGATGGGACTATAAAATGTATGTACATGCAGTTTCTTCCCTGAAATGAAGTGTGAAAACAGCATTCTGCTCTCACAGATGTGTTTTTCACACTTGTGTCATATCTTCCTTTCACTGAGATGGCATGCTAGTACTATAAAAAAGAACTTATTTCCTCCAGCATACGATTTTACCATGCATTATGCTGCTTATACCCACACCACAGCTATATAAACAAATCTGGCTTGTTTTAGTATTCTGCTAAAAGCCACAAGCAGAATGTGCTACATTCCATGAGGTGCCTCTCTTTCCCTATGTGCCTACTTTTCTATCCATATTTCCATTTAGCAGCCCTTATAGGTTCATTTCCATTGTGTGGTAGAAAGCAGAAAGAAACCGAGCCAGTACATTTATCTTGCCTTCCAAGGCTGCAATATCACTCCAATTACAGTTATGGCATGTTCACCTTCATAACACAGCTATATATTACAAGCCTTCCAGAGCTACTTTTATTCTTTCCAGATTGTTGTAGCCTTTGTGTGATAAATCTCAAGTGAGTTTATTCTAAATAAAATGCTTTTCCCATCAGACCTGTTTACAAAAGAAATTAAGTAAACCACAAACTGGCACCAGTCCCAACTAGCATAAACTACATTATATTAATCTTCTTAGGTTACCAAATCACACACAAAAAAGAAAAACTCCATTCAGTCTATTTTTACAGTCAGGGTTACTTTGTTCTCTACACTGTGCAATAAATGAATGGCAAATAAGTTGCAAAGTTTACAAATATGATTGTGTCAGGAAAGAATTAGTTTCCTATAGCACTCATGCTGATCAGGGTTAATCTAGTATTTGATGAGAGCTTGTTGTATTGTAACCACGTGTGAAGCAATAAACTTAGGCACTAGTTTCAAAGTATAGGACAGAAAAAAAGAGCTTACCTCTGTAGGATAATTTGACCCTTGGCACGTTATTTTTGACATTCTGACAGTTCACCCTTGTTGTTATTGATACTCCCAAGAAAAGAAATGCAATCCCAGTCAAAGAGCCCATGATGAGGAGCAAGCAGATCCTAGATCTCTCTGCAGCTTGGTGTCCCCTTGCTGCAGTCTTAGGGGGTCTCTCAAGTCGGGGAGGGGAACAGGTGACTTAGGTCAGTTTCATTCCAGCCACAAAGGCAAAATTAAGCTCATCATCCCTCCTTCTGGAAAAGATTGCAAAGTTCAGGCGATCTGGAGTAATGGTGGTGCAGGCACTGGATAATGAGACACAACTGTTGTGTAGAGAGAGGAAAAAGGAGCGAGTGCTGCAGTGCTGGAGCTTAACGATCCATTCGCTTCATTGAAGGATCTCCTCTGCTCTGCTATGCTCTGCTGCTGCCCGGTGGAGGGATCCTTGCTCTTTGTGCTTCACTTCACTGTGTGGGAGCTGAATGAAAGGAAGACAGGAGCCTACAGAGCTGTACTACTGACTTTTTTTTTTCCCTGTCCACATGCACACAGATGATACAGGATCTCTCAGACAGGTTTTCCCTGGAACAGCAAAGGCAAAACTGACAATGGGAGAACAGGCAAGCTCAACCCACTGCCTTTTCCTGCTGTCACATAACACATGCAAAAAACATCTAGTAGAGATTAGAGGAGGGAGCAAAAAAACCTGCACCAAGCATGTGGAAGGCAAGCAGACAGTATTTTACCTTTAAAAGGCATAGGCTGCTTTCAACTTTGCTGAAAGAGAACAGCAGCAGCAAGGTTCATCATTTCACATTTCATAGGCAGGTCACTAGTCAAACAGTGCACCAATAGACTTGACTTTTTTATTTTATTTATTCTTTAACCATGCTCCTTTTTTAATCTTGACAATCCTAGTGGGAATTCCCTGGTTAGAGCGCTCAGAGCAATCTCTTCAAGACAAGAGTCGCTCTGCTGGGGATTAGAAATCATATTTGCTGATTCTCCACAGGATTCTTCCAATTCAAACATATCAGCACACTTCCAGCCTCTTTTGAAATCCCCTGATTATTCCATTAGTCAAATTACACTGGTCTCACCCTCCAGAACCCCCCTTCCCCACAAAGCAAAAGGTTTGTGATGATGTGTCAAATCCTTTTCCAGTTGGAGAGATACAATTTTCCATGCCATGCTTCTAGTCAATTACTCCTGTAAACACAGCAGAAGTAAGCCTTAACAAACAAGATACTCAGAGCAGGTTAGACCATTGCCCTCTAATGTGCTTCAATCTCAAACCAATTGAGCAAATTGCAGAAAGCTTTGAAATCTCATAATCTAATTGTGATACCCTAACCTCTTCATTTGAATGCAGAGAGGAAAAAAAGGGCACAGGAGACCTACAACCTCAAAAGGTCACTTTTTTTAAGTGATATAAAGGTTTTGTTTTAATTAAGCAGCATTAGATGCTAATATGTTTAAGATTTAATTTCATGGTGTGATAAATCCCCGAAGCACCCTGTCATCAGTGCCATTAATGGCTCACTAAAGTACATAATAGAGAGAAACAAAATCAGTTTTTCACAAACTCTTCTGCTTCCTGAACTGTATGTGTCACTCCCACCATTTACCATCTGCCAAATTCAACATTTCTATTGATCAGTGATGGTATTGTGTAAATAAAATGTCCGCTAAAGAGAAAAAGTTGATTTTGGTGATTCCCACACTTGTTCTCTCCAGACTCTAGAATACTTTCATGCTTCAGGCATTGGATTAAAGGTCTTCAATGACAAGAGGCTCCTGTCTGTATTGCAGGGATTACCACAGACATTCACTCTGTAAAGGAATTCATGCCATTTTGAGATTATTTGCTGCATTTGCCTAATTAATTTTCTGCCATTATACATTTCAAACAATAGTGTGCACAACACACAAATGATGCTCCATCGCCGTGCTGAGCAGAGAATACAACACTGGATATGCAAATGGAGTCATTATACCACTTTATAGCTATCATGAAGAAAGATCACCATTCACAATCCTTTGCTCACACAAAAGCAAATCAAAGAATCTGTACATGAGAGTAATTTGTTCTGCGTCTAGTATATAATTACATGTAGCCTTAACCTTTCTGTGTGTGCAGCAGGGCTTTTGAAACAAACACTGCAGTGATACTATGTTACTGCATTCTAAAGATATTTACACATATTTCTTTTCATTTTTTATACATAATGTATGTATCTATTTTAATATATATTCAGGTTTTATAACCATTCCAGGGCAAAGAACATGGTAAACGGGAAGGAGAACATCATCAATTAAATGGGAAATTATGTTTAGGCATGCATCAAAATTGCAGCCTTTTGGTGAATGAACATTCCCTCTGGATATGTTTGTATCCAAAGATTATATCAAGTGTTTGTTGTATAATCATTCTCATCAATAGATAATGCAGCATAGAAATAGCACTTGTGGAGAACAATAAGAAACAGAATTATATTTTTGACCAATAAACTACCAATCTTTGGAGTGTGGCCAGAATTCTTTCCCCTTGAGTGGTTGTATATTGGAGCGGGGATGTGCTCCCAATGGCAAGCATCCGGCTTATCCCTTAGCTAAGCTGTGGAGGAGCAATGCATCTACTAGGTGTCTGGACCAAACTTTAGATGTTCTCTCATGCAGAGGTTTGTGTCTTGCATGTTTAATACACCAGTGCAGGCCGGTCCTCAACAGTCCTCTTGTTCTGACATCACTCGTCTTCTGGATCCTGAGAGGACTGGGTAGTCAATAGGAAGTGTCCACATCATGCAAGCAGTGATATGCACACTTGTAGAAGTACCCTGCTCATATAAACAGAGAGGAGAGCAGACTGGGACATCACGTGACCCCCCAGCTATAGGTGAGAAAAAGGGCACATTTTATTTTATGCCAGCAATCAGTTAGAGGAGGATAGGTAGAAATGGGTTCATGTTTTACCCAGAGTTGGGCACCACATGGCTCAACAAACTTCATTAGAAAAATCAAAGGAGCCGACCAGAAAGAAGTCAACCAAACAGTAAATGCAGCCAGCCAGCTGCAATCACTGTTCAGACAGCCATCATCCATGGATGCTGGCTGTCAGAATGCAATAACCAGCAGGGATGATTCCTCCATCCACGGTGTTTATTGTGGATGCCAATATGGCTGTGGATGTGGGAGGAATCAGGCAGGTGTCAACACCACCAGGACTACCTGTTAGAATGGCCTGCAGTGGAAGGCAGTAAATGCTCCTGCAGGTATGTGCAGGTACATGTAGGTGTGGGCTCCTCATTTCTGTCGACTGCCCTTTGTTTTCTTAAATTGACAATGTCTCTTTAACTACTATGTTGCCCATCATTTCATCAACAATGCACTGATTTTAGTGTGTTCACCCTTTCAATAGCAAAGATTGAATTACGTGTGTTGCATGTAGACATGTGCGATTCGTTTCGTTCCGAATCGAAATTCGGACGAATTTTCGGAAATTCGGACATTCGGATGTATCCGAATTCCGAATTACAGACATAACGAATGCAAACGAATCCGAATTTCCATTTCCGAAATTCGGTAACGTTCGTACGAACGTTCGTTTAGTTTTCTGTTCTTATTCGTTTCTTATTCGTTTCGTTCGTTGGAGCAAAGTGACATTAGAGAAGGAGAAAAATATTTTTTCCCCCTCAAATGTCACTTTTGCTGCAAATGAACGAAACGAATAAGAAACGAATAAGAAACGAATAAGAACAGAAAACGAAACGAACGTTCGTACTAACGCTACCGAATTTCGTCCGAATCCGAATTCCGGATCCGAATTGACTTTCACACCCGAATCCTGAAAAACGAAATAACACAAATCCGAATTTAAAACGAAACGAAACGAATTTTTTGGCAGTGCACATGTCTAGTTGCATGTACCTTAAGGGCCCATTCACACCGGTGCAGTGCCTTAATTGCATGTTCCATGCAATTATCTCACCGTACTGCACACCACCTACCATCCATTAACAGTGCGGGAGGTTTGAATTTCACCCCAAATGCTCCTCCCACCCGCAGTGCATTATATCGCACTGTAACATGTTATATCACAATACCGTGCATTGTGGTGCAGTGCAATTAAAAAAGTAGTGTATGTACAACTTTTTTAATCACACCGCAGCACACGTTACTGCAGTATTGCACATTGTGGCGCGATCGATCACACCGCCGGTGGGAGGTGCATTTTGGGGGTGAAATTAAAATGATTGGCACTGCAATGCACCTCCTGCACTGTTAATGCATGGTAGGTGTGTTTTGCGGTGTGGTGAGCTAATTGGGAGGTGTGTTTGGGGTGAAATTCAAATGAATGGAAATGCAACGCAGCTCCCACACTGTTAATTCATGGTAGGTGCGGTACATTGAGTTAATAACATGGAACCGTGCAATTAATGCATGGCACAGGTTTAAATGGGCCCTTACATGCTACATGCAACACAAGCAATTTTGCTATTGAAAGATGTTACTGCATAGTAGGTGTGATTAACGCATCACACTGGTGTAAATGGGCTCTAAGTTGGCCATACACTGGTTGAATTTCATCCTACTGACTCGACCGAAATTCAAGCAGTGTGTGGCCTTGTCAGAACCGACCTGTTTGATAAAAGTTGTTTACTCAATCAAAAGTCAGAGTCAGAGTTTTGTCAAAGAAGCTGGGCTGAAAACGAATGTTGACTTCAGCCAATCACATATGGTCACTGTTCTAGTATTGTAACAGCAGCACACCAGGCGGGGAATCAAGAGTTTTTTCATGTTGAGCTCTTGTGGCTGAACATGAAAAAACAATGTATGGCCAGCTTTAGGGCCCATTCACACCATAGAGTCGCGTTAAGCACACGGTTGAACTACTTTTTTTTAGGCGCACTGCACCATGATGCACAGTAATGTGGTACTGTGTGTTTCAGCACGGTCAGGCGCATTGCAGCCAGAGATGCACTTGGGGGTGCTATTCAAATGAATGGCAACCCAATGCACCTCCTGTACTGTAACGCACTGTAGGTGCATTGCACGGCAGTGTGCATTAATCACATGGAACTGTGCAATTAATGCAATGCTATGGTGTTAATGCACCTTTACACTATATTCATATGAGTACTGGTTGCACAAAAACACACAATGATACTTAAGATACCCTGAGTGTCCTGGTGGGAAAAGTAGTTACATAAATGGCATACATTGTATACCGCATACACACCGAGCTGCACCTGACAAATCACAATGGGATGCGTTCACTAAAGGTGTCAAACATGTTCACATTGCAAAGTGATATTTCACTGTATTGGACATTTTGGCTTTTCTTTGTAAGCGTGGTGAATATTTACTTTGAATAGAATACCCATTTAAGTGCAAGAAAAATAAAAAAAAGATTTTTGCTTGCACATGATTGGATGATGGAACTCAGCAGGGCTTCACCTCCTTCACTCAGCTAAGCTTAAGTCCCATTCCAGAGTGAGAATTGCCTGGCTCACATCTGAGCATTCCCAGAACATGCGGCAATACACGCGTTCTAAGCACGATTGCCGCCC